AATGATATTTAAAGCCATTAGATTGAATGAAGTCACCAGGGTGGTGAGAATGGATAGAGTAGTCCAAGGACCAAGACCTGAGTTACGGCCATGATTAAAGGTCAAAGGGGGCTTGGTGCCTGTAGCTCAGCAGCTAGGGCGTCGGCCATATACACAGAGGCTGGCAGATTTGAACCCGACCTAGGCCTGCTAAACAACAATGACCACTACAACAACAAAAATAGCCAGGCGTTGTGGCAGGTGCCTGTAGTCCCAGCCATTTGGGAGGCTGAGGCAAGAGAATTGCTTGAGCCCAAGAGTTTGAGGTTGCTGTGAGCTGTGATGCCACAGCACTCTACCCAGGGCAACATAGTGAGACTGTCTCAAAAACAAAACAAAACAAACAAAAAAGGTCAAAGAGATGAGGATTCAGCAAAGGTGATTGAAAAGGAGTAAGCAGTGAGATAGGAAACAAACATCACGAGAGGACGGCACCTTAAAAGCCAAGAGCACAAAGTGCTTCATAAAAGGAGGGAGTGATAGACTATTTCAAATGCGGCTGATGGATCAAATAAGATGAAGAGGAAGAACTATTCTGTGCAGCAATGTGGAAGTCACCAGTGAGTTGGATCAGAAGAATTTTGGTCGAGTAGTGGGAACAAGTGCCAACGAGGCGGGTGGGGAGAGAATCTAAGAGCTTCGCTAGAAAGGAAAGCAGAGAAATGGAAGGAGTTAGCCACAGAAACGGAATGAAGAGCTTATTTCTTAATAATGAGAGAAATTATAGCATGCGCTGATCAAAATGATTCAACAGGCCAGGGGCGGTGGCTCACGACTGTAATCCCAGCACTCTGGGAGGCCACGGCAGGTGGATTGCTTGAGCTCACAGGTCTGAGACCAGCCTGAGCCAGAACGAGACCCCACCTCTAAAAATAGCCGGGCGTCGGTCGTAGAGGGCGCCTGTAGTCCCAGCAACTCAGGAGGCTGAGGGTTGCTGTGAGCTGTGATGCTAAGCACTCTAGTAAGACTATGTCTCAAAGAAAAAAAAAATGATCCTATGAGAAGAATAAATAATGAGATAGGAGAAAGGGGGGAATTGTTCAGAATTCCTTGAGCAGACAAGAACCACCACAATCTGGTGTACTGGCTCGGGGAAATGCAGACAACTTATTTAGAGCAGGGTTTCCCAACTGTGCTCTGTGGACATTTAGGGCTGGGCCACTCTGTGCTGTGGAGCTATCTTGTGCATTAGAGGACATCTGGCAGCATCCCTGGCCTCTACCTAGTAGATGCCTGTAGTACCCCTCTCCCAGTCACAGCAAGTGTCTCCAGACATTGTCAAATAGCCCCTAAGGTTTTGCCCCCCCCCCCCAGGGGATATTTTAGGTTGTCAGGACTGGGTGAGCTGGGGAAATGCAATAGCCATCTAGCAAGTAGAGGCCAGAGCTACTGCAAAACATCCCACAATACACAGGACAGCTCCCCACAACAGAATGAGCCAGTCCCACCCACAGGGCTAGTGGAAAAGCCCTGGAAGAAGAGGATGACAGCACAGATGCTGGCAGGTGGGTAGATGTGACGAGGCCTGTGGGAGTTCCCTTCTGATTGCTTCCATTTTTTTCCCTAAAATAGGAATCAAGGTCATGAGCTTGGAGGTGGGGGTGAGGGTGGGACAGGAAGTTTAGGGAGAAAAAATATAGAGCTGCTCTATAGGAGAAGTGGACATGATTCTGGGCTGCATGAAGGGTTCACATGAGCCAAGTACTCATGAACTGAATGTGAAATCAGTCAGTTTGGATGTGTGTTTTTCTTGGGCTATATTTAGGGGCAGAGTAGGGACAGAGACAGATGTAACAGGTTGTAGTTTTGTCAACAAGTGCAAGGAAGCAAGGAAGAGGCAAACATGTGAGTGTGAAAATGACCACCAAATCTGAGCTGGGTGACAGGTGGACTGTGAAAGGTAGGTGTCCCTCACAACAGGGTAGTTTTAAGACATTTTGAAGAGGATGAGCTGTGAAAGGGGAAAGATAAGGTGAGCTCTGCCCTAAAAAGGTAATGACTCACTTTTCCTAGTAAATACTTGATACCCTCTGAAGGACAGAGTACAATAGCTTCTAAATGAACTCAGGTAAACCAAGCTTCCTAACTAAGCTCATGTTCCAGGCTGTGGTTTCTTTGGTCACATTACCCTCCATCAATGAAGTCAACACTAAACAACTGGATATCAGAGAACTCAAAAGTGACTTCTAGTCTTTATTTATTAGTTTGTGTACGGTATTCTTCTTCTAGTTGTTCAGAGGCTTCTGGGTATACTTGGGAGTGATGGACTCACAAATATGACTGAACAGACACAAAGTGTTAGGCAAAACTGAAGCCATCAGAGGCATTATCCCTGTCTGACGGTTTCAAGATTAAAGGTAACAACAGTTGTTTACAGAAGGCTCTCAGTCCTCCTTTTGAGAATTTTGTTGAAACACTACAAAAAAAAAAAAAAAAGGCAGTAAAAGGTATCCATTTCCTCACTGGCACACATACAAAATATGACAAGAGAACAATGATGAGAACAACATGGACTTAGCCTTCCCTGGTCACTTAGGCATCAGAAGGTTCAGTGTGACCCAGTCCTGCCACTCACTAGCTGAATGGTCACAAGCAAGACACTCAGACTCTTCAACTTCTGCTAAAAAATAGAGGGTGTAATACTCACAGGGCTGTTGCCCAGGAATGTATGAGAAAGTGCTTTATAAATCACATTGTACTTTCCTAATGGAAATTGTGCTGACACTTAAGAGCAGGGTGGGGAGAGTGGACTCAAGTCTGCCTCCTGGTCAGAATGGAGAATAGGAACAAGAGTGCTTTACTAAAAGCAGAAAGGAGTGCCAGCTTCTTTTCTACACAGAACCTAAGTGCAGAAACCTGGCCAAAGCTTGTACTTGGCAAACCTATTCTTACAGCCAAGGACAGAAAAAGCTGAAGAAAAGCAAAGCACTGGAGCTGCAGTTCCCAACCCCAGAGTAAGCAAAGCTTCATCTGTATTTACAGCCACTCCCCATCGCTGCCTGAGCTCTGCCTCCTCTTAGATCAGGGTGGCATTAGATTCTCATAAGAACGCAAATCCTACTGTAAAGTGCACTTGTGATGGATCTAGGTTGCACTTGCCTTATGAGATTCTAACACCCCCTCCCCCATATGTGGAAAAACTACCTTCTATGAAACTAGACCCTGGTGCCAAAAAGGTTGGGGACTGCCGCCCTAGAAGCACAAACCAAAACACAAACAGTATGTGCAATTTTAAGGACAATTCTTTGCAACTTTGTTTTGGACTGCTAAAGGTTTGGAAACAGGTGGGACATACCTATTATTGGGAATCATTACGGCTCACTTACAAGCAGGAACATGAAGCTTCTATGAGTTCATTCTCCAGCTGGTGGGGGCTACTCCTGGTCACCTCCTAGCTTACAATCTAGGTGTTAAATGTTCAAGGAGGCCTCTCCAAATATCAACAAAAATGCAGACTGAAAGGGGGTCCATGATGAATGTGACCAGAAGCTAACAGAGGGCAGAGGAAACTGGGTACCTCAAAACCCAAGCACCAGCTGCACCCAGCCTCTACCTATTTCTATGGGAAAAATTACATGGCAGATAACTGCCTCCATTTTCCTACCTGGAAAATGGGCGCAGCATTTCAGAGGCCAGAGTAGGGATGTATAGTCCAACCCCTATATTTCACCAAGGAAGAGACAGACTGGGAAGGTGAATGGACTCCCTGAAGAGCACCCAGCTGGTGAACAGCCAAGGTGGGACCAACATCCAGATCATGCCCACCCCATCAGTCCCCCTTCCACCCACCTGCTCCTTGACTGAAGAGGTGTGCTTTCATGCGATTTGGGTTACTTTTTCATCATCCTGCCAGGCAGCTGCCTGCAGACCAAATCCAGCTGGGAGCTTAAAGATGCCCTGCAAATGGTTTTAGGTGGGTTTTCAGGCTTGAGAATGGTGAGCGGTTGCAGAATGGTGACGCAGATCCGTCCAGAAACCCTGGAGAAGGCAAATGGCACTGACAATGAAAAGTCCAAAGCGCGACCTCATAGATGGTGGAAGAAGGTCCCAGCCCCTCACCCGGACCCACAGTCTTGGAGGTTCGGGGGCCAGAATCTGGGCAGTCACGCTGGGTTTAATGCTCTGCTGTGACCGTTTGAAATTTGTAATAACTTATGAACGAGGGACCTGGCATTTTCATTTCGCACGCAGTCCCTCAAATTATGTGGCCTTTCCTTCCCAGAGGCCAAAAAGGAGTGGCCTGTCTACACCACCCTCCAGCCCTAGACAAATGGGACCAAAGAAGGCCTTGTGGTCCCGGTCGCCTTACGACTGGGCTTCAGGAGGGAAAGAGAGCTGCGGGACAGGTCGGGGGCAGTAAGAGGTCCCCGCCCTCGGGCAAGCGACTATTCAGCGGCCTTTCCCAACCCTGGCAAAACAGGCGCCCACGCAGAAATGGCCCCAGCCCCCAGCCCCCAGCCCCACGCCGCCTGAGGTCTCCTCAACCGCCAAAGCCTCCAACGGCCAAAGCCTCCAACGCTGCCGGGAAGAGGCGACCTTCTCACTTTGGACGGGGGGTGGGGGGGCAAAGCCGTCGGTGGCCGAGGCTCAGTTTGTCCCTGAGGAAAATGGGAGAGTGGGGGGCCCTCACCAGCTGAGGGAAGCTTTCAGAAGGTGTGGTGCCCGGCCAGGGTTCACTTCCGCTCGCCCGGTTGCTTCGCCCACTCCTCAGCTGAGGGAAAGACTGGGGACGGATGATAGAGGGAGGTGCTGTCGGCCCGGATGGTCACCTGGGCCCCTGGCCTGGCTCTGATCACAGGAGCCGCGGCGAAGCTGGTGATAAACCGGGCGAGCGGCGCCGGGCCGCGGTGTGGGCGCCTCGGAGGCGGGGCGGGGCCGCAGCGGAAGGACCGGGTCTCCACGGCGCGGCGCGCGTGACGTGACCCCATGAATGAGCTCACAATGTGGGCGGCCGGCGGCGTGGTTCTGTGGTGTAGTGGTTAGCACGTCTGCTTTACACGCAGAAGGTCCTGGGTTCGAGCCCTAGCGGAACCAGCCCATTTTGTTTTAATACTCAATATCCCCTAAGCGTCTGGGTTAAAACGAAGCAAAAGCGCGGCACTTGCCTTTCTCCTTTTTTTTTTCACTTTTTAATGTTTGGGGCGTGTTCTTATCGCAGAAGCGAAATGACAGCTGCCCTCTCCCATCCCACAAGGTCACGGCCGCCGCCACCGTCTGACCTGACAAATAGCGGGGGACGCCCCCGGGCCCCGCCCACCTCTTCTCCCGCCACCCCGGGGCGGCCTCGGAAAACCCGGCTGGCGATCCTGGGGCGCCCCCGGCGAGCTGGGACAGACAGCCGGCCCGCAAGCCCCCAGATAAAATGTGACAACACAGCAGCACTTATAACGTGGTTGAATTATTAAAGATGTGTTATCTTTACGAGTATGATTCAAAGTTTAATTTTTCATTAAACTCTAAAATGCAGAGAGGAAATAAAAACCAAAAGACAATCTTTTTTCAGACAGCAGTAGAGTTTGGGAAATAGACGTTCTTCTGCTGAGTGAGGAATTCATACACGTACGGAATAAAATGTCAAGCTCGCAGACACCCAGTAAATGACCAAAACGTTTCTCTAGTTCCTTTTGTGTATCTCTTTACTATCTCATTACACTTTTGTTTGAGAGGGTTTATTATTATATGTAATGTCGACCTTTTGGGGTCCTGGAGGCTGAATATGTGGGTGGGCCCATGGCAAAAATTAAAAGGAGAAGGGGATATTCGATCTCTTACTCTGCGTTGTTCAACATAGTTTACTCTGCGTTGTTCAACATAGTTTTGCCCTTTTTTGCAGTCCATAAATTTGCATCTTTTTCAAGAGTATAACACACGGCTTTCTCTGTTATCACAACCACTTCATCAGCTTAATTTTTTCTAACCATCTTAACCATGTTCAGCAGTGTGAAATATATTCACATTGTGGTCAAACAGATCTCCGGGACGTTTTCATCTTGCACAATTGAAAGATTACCTATTAAACAACTCCACTTTTCCTCTCATCAACTTTGTTCTTAATGCCTATGTGAAAATGAGAGCTAGTTTTATCAACAACTGTTCTAAATATTTTGTATATTTCATCCCATTTAAGCCTCAAAATAACTGTATGAGTGCAGGCATTATCATCATATTACAGACAAGGAAATTGAGGCGCAGAGAGGTTGATAACTTACCCTGAGGTCACAATGTAATGAGCGCTAGCATTGGGATTTCCATCCAGTCTAGCTTGGGAATCTATGCTTATTCCTGGGCTGCACTGCCTCTCTTGATTTACTTAACACCCTAATCTTGCCCATTGTTTCCGAATTTTTGCTTTTATAAGCAACACAGCAATGCACATGTTTACGTGTAACTGCCCTCCCCCCAACATTTAGTGTTTTCCTTAGTGACTAGGTATGAACATGATGCCAAGTTGCTTTCTAAGAAGGGAATTTGTGGCATTTTCATATAATTGGAGAATGTTAGTGCTTATCTGGCAGGAAACTGCTCGCTGTCAACCCCTAGAAGATGATGGCTGAGAAAGGATTAAGACCTGAGTCTTATAATTCTCGTTCCCATTTCCCTCCCTTGCTTCCCTGTTTATGTTGAAATGAAATCAGTATCTTTCTTGCTAAACCAAGCTCAGTTGATGCTGGCATCTTCTGCGAGGCTTTCTTGTTGAAGCAGGTAGCTATGTGGGTTAACTTGATGGGGCTCAGCCGAAGACATAAGAATTAAGTGGAATAAGATGCTTAATGAGGCCAGTGCTCAAGTTAATCCCCTGTTCTTGGGCAAACTCTCCACTTCAGTAAGGTAGGGCTGCAGCCAAGGACGAGGGGAAAATGCCACGCAAGATAGAAGGCTTTTTGTTACTACTTCTCTTTGGCTATGAAGGTAGGTGCTATTCAACCATTGGTATTCATTACATACTTAATAATATAATTTAATGAATGATACAGTTGATAAATAGGAATTGAACCTGAATAAGAAAAAATATTATTAATTAGCAACACATGTTAACTAATTAACACGTGTTATTAACAAACAACAGTTGTCTTTATGTAGATGTGGTTCTCTTTGTTTTGCCACTGTCTTTCCAGTTCAGTGAGGAGTGTTCTAAAAGTTCAAAGGATGCTTAAAATCAACAGACAAAAGGAAGGGTCTCAGAAATTGTATAAAATGGCTATCTCTCTTAACAATTAATGAGAAAATATGGCATATTCTTGAAAATTTTAGGAGTCAAAGCTAGGGTGATTGTAGAATTTAATCTTCCAAGCCCGGATCTACTAGGGGTGAAGGAGGATGCTATTAATAATTCTGCTGGGACAACAGGTGTAAATCAGGACTGTCCAGGGCACATCAGGACGTGAGGTCACCCTAGTTTAAATATGGATTAATGTAACATCCCGATTACTACTGGAATCTAATAAAAAGCATAATTCAAGTGAGAGTCAGGAATCCCCCAAGACAGAATACACTCAATCATTTAAAAATGTCTAAATATGGCCTTTTAGTGTGATCTGATTAAATAAGGAAAAATTACCAGTAAATCTCTAAAATGTCATCCAATTAAACTTTTCAATTATCTCTCAATCTTTGAAACAACATTCTTTCATGACTCTCTCAGTTCTCAACTCATCAACTCAGAATTTCTTTTCTGGTTCATTCAGACATTGGAAATTGTTTGACTGTCTTCTTTGTGGCTGTCGTGCACTTATGCTACAGGAAATAAATGAGGAGGGCGGGGAGGAGGAGGACATGATGAAACTCACAAGTAGACTTAGAATCCCTGGTTTCAATCCTTCTCCTTTCTACCCTCTCACTATATTTTATTGGTAGAGTATTTGCAAAGACTTGAGAAAATATAATCTCAAGGTCATTTTGCAAACCCTAAGGTAAATTTGTAAGCAGGGATCATTTAGATCAATTTTCCTTTGTTTTTTTCCCCTTGCAATTAATAGTCAACACCATGTACCAGTAACTTTTAATACTTTAAGATGCTTTTGTTGTTTTTCTTCTTTTAGTTTTTTGAGACAGAGTCTCACTCAGTTGTCCTCTGTAGAGTACTGTGTGTCATAGCTCACAGCAACCTCAAACTCTTGGGCTCAAGGGATCCTTTTGCCTCAGCCTCCTGAGTAGCTGAGACTACAAGTATCCACCACAATGCTCAGCTAATTTTTTTTTTTTAAGAGACATGGACTTGCTCTTGCTCAGGCTGGCCTCGAACTCCTGAACTCAAGCAATCCACTGGCCTCGGCCTCCCAGAATGCTAGGATTACAGGCATGAGCCACCACACCTGGCCTCTTTTGTTGTTTTTCCTTCACTTCTCACTCTTTCCTCAGCTAAAGTCTTTTGAGGCTTAGATCCAAATACTCTTAAAAATGTCAGATATCCACAGTTTGATGTCAAATTTCCTTGTGATTGGAATAGAGATTCATTCATTCCTTTGTCCATTCATTCAAGAGCCCATCCTTAAGTATCTGCTCTGAGGCAAATACTGTGTAAGAATTGGACATGCAGGGCAGATCCTTGTTGCTTTCAAAGTGCTGAGTCTAACAACCTTGCTCTGTGACCCCCAAATGAGAAGAGTCCTATAAAAAATGCAATTTTAAATAAGACCTATCCATTAGTGGATATCAATAATAAAAGGCTGTCAGGAGTCTCAGAGGACAACGCTCTTTCCTGTGTTATATAGCTTACCAATTTCTGCACGGCTTGGGGAATTCCAGAAATGTCCTCAAAGAGAGAGAGTATCATCTGTTCAGGTAGCATGGAATTTGCCAGTGGGAAGGCTTGGGGACCCAAAATTCTCTTACCCACCTAACTCAGGCCCTACTCCCATATGCTGCTTGGAAGGAAAATAGCCATCCCAAAATGGCTATTGTAGCTTGGGGACCTACTGTGTACTTTCCCTCAAGCCAGAGGGGTGCTCCAGGAGACAGAGGAGAAAATACAGGATGCAATTTCTATACTGAGTTTTTTGTGTGTGTGGCCACAGAGTCTCAGTTTATCACCCTTGGTAGAGTGCGTTGGTGTCACACAGCTCACCACAACCTCCATCTCCTGGGCTTAGGCGATTCCCTTGCCTCAGCCTCCCGAGTAGCTGGGACTACAGGTGCCAACCACAACACCCAGCTATTTTTTTGTTGCAGTTTGGCTGGGGCCGAGTTTGAACCCGCCACCCTCGGTATATGGGGCCATCGCCGTACCCACTGAACCACAGGCACCGCCCTCTGCACTAATTAACGTGGATAACATATGGCAAACCCTCATGGAAAAGATGAATTTCAGGGCAGCACCTGTGGCTCAAAGGAGTAGTGCGCCGGCCCCCTATACCAGAGGTGATGGGTTCAAACCCAGCCCCAACCAGAAACTGGAAAAAAAAAAAAAAGATGTGTTTCATTGCATAAGTTGGAACATGAAGACAAAGGTTCTTTGTCTGATTCACTCTTTGCTGTTTCTGTTCTTTGGTGGCAGTGGCTCCTCATTATGGTGTAATAAAGTAAACAGGCTGACTTCAGTTATGCTCGGATCATCATAGCAACGTGCCACTTAGGTCTTATGACTTATCTTCTGCTGCACATTTTAGATTGAATGCCAATAATGATTTAAAATATATTCATCTTATTAAAATATACTAGTCCATTATTTGATCATGTTTATTATATAAAAGTTTTTAAAAAGAGTCATCTAGCCTTATCTTACAGGTGAATGTGCCCCTTTGCGGGTACATCAACCATCAGGGATTGCAGGTGTTTATTAAGAAGCATTTTTTTTTTTTGAGTCTCATTTTGTCAGCCTCTGTAGAATGCTATGGGGCCATAGCTCACAGCAACCTCAAACTCTTGGGCTCAGGCTCTTCTCTCTTGCCTCAGCCTCCCAAGTAGATGGGACTACAGACGCCTGCCACAACGCCTGCTAGTTTCAGAGACAAGGTCTCACTCTTGCTCAGGCTGGTCTTGAACTCTTGAGCTCAAGCGATCCACCTCCCTCGGCCTCTCCGACTGCTAGCATTACAGGCATCTTTGTTGAGATGTAATTTACACACCATTAAAATCACCCATTTAAAGTGTACAATTCAATAGTTTGTAGGATATTTACAGATTTGTAGCACCCACAACCTATTTTTAGAGCATTTTTCATCACCCCAGACATTAAGTGCTCACGCCCCATTCTCCCAGCCTCCAGCAACCACAAATCTACCCTGTCTCTATAGATTTGCCGATTCTGGACATTTCATTTAAATGGAATCATACAACATATGGTCTTCTGTCTTTCGCTTAGCATATGTCTTTGAGGTTCATCTGTGTGGAAGCATGTGCGGATACCAGATTTGCCCATGAATATGCCTGTCACCCAAAATAGTAACACTTTCACACCAGAAGCAATTTCCTTCTTTCTTCTTTACAAGAGGGACGTTATTGCAGCCTGCTGTGTTCCTCCTGTGTCTTATTCCTGCTTCTCAAGTAGATTGAAGCTAGTTACAGATAGTTTTTATCATTCATAATTTTATGCCTTTCTCCCTGGCTTCCTCTGTTTCCATGGGAAAGAACGTTATGTTACTTAGTGATATCCGACTACAGAGACTAAAACTCTCTTTCCTATGTACCCAAGGCACACTTTTCCTCTTGAGTTTGCAAGGGACATTTCAAGAAATAGGCATTTTTTTTTTTTCAGCCTGAGCAAGAGTGAGACTCTGTCTCTAAAAACTAGCTGGGCATTGTGGCAGGCACCTGTAGTCCCAGCTACTTGGGAGGCTGAGCCAAGAGGAGTGCTTGAGCCCAAGAGTTTGAGGTTGCTGTGAGCTATAGTGCCAGGGCACTCTACCAAGGGTGACAAAGTGAGTCTCTGTCTCAAAAGAAAGGAGAGAGAGAGGGGGTGGGGAGAGAGAGAGAGAATGCTAAATTAAAAAGAAAATAGGCATGTTTGGAATTTTCTTGCAAAAGGTTTCCCCAAGGCAGTGGCCTTCTGTCCCCAAAGGGCATAATGAGCCCATATTGCATAAATCTAAGATTGGTGAGTGGCAGACGTCTAGGGTAACTTGTGATGGAATCACAAAACAATGCAAGTTGGGAGAAAAATATTTGCAACCACATAATTGAAATCTTGTACTCTTTTTCCTTTGAAGGCTGATGTTTTTTCTTTTTCTCAATCCAGCATGTTGCTTTCTGGCATGATAATTTGTTGTAGTCAAAAATGCTTTTGCCTTTGTTCTCCTGTTTTTTGGTGATTAAATCATTTTGGGAAACTACAGCAGCCAGGCTGCTTCTCCCTTGGTGACAGCTTTTTCCTGTAAAATGCTTCTTGTTCCTTCTTTCTCTGCTCATTTCCATAAGGATCTGGCACCTCAGAATCTCAGGCTGCCTAGAGACAAATGCTTTCTGGGGAGGGGAGCTTGAGGGGAAACAAAATGCAAGAAATCAGCCCCAAATCTGATTTCGCACAGGAAGTGGCTCTGAAGCCAGTGGCTTCCTCTTCCTCACTCCTAGAAAGGGAGTGAATTCCTGAGTTGCCCCCACCTTTCCGTTCACCTTCTGCTTTGTTTCTGCAGAATGTGGAAACTGTTCCAAGCCCACCAATGGACCTGGAGTAGCAAAAGTCCCTGCAGGCTGAGTTGCTGGGCCTTTGAACTCTGGGTTTGCTCAGCTGCAGCTGAATAGACCAGACCCTCTTCAGTGACAGACATGCCTTTGAGCTAAATTGATTTGGTTATTAAAGCTACATCTTCAGTACCATAATCAGGACCCTTGTCTTTGATCCCCCCCAAAAGATGGTCTTGGCATAAATGATGTCCAACTGACAGGGCCTATTAGCCATCCCCAGCTTCTCTTGAGGGTGAGGCGTGGGACAGAATGCCTACTAGATTAGCGACCTCCAAGGCAGTACTTACTTC